GACTAGTAGAACTTGGGAAGTTAGAAACTTAGGATGATTGAGATTTATAGGGCTACCTTAGAGGAGATTTGAAAGTCAGAGAAATTGTCATTTGCCTCTATTTTTAAATTATGGTTTATTCAGACAACAGTAAAATGTTTACTGATGCAAGTTTCCCCTAAGAATGCACGGGTAGCCTGGAAGCTAAGATTGCAGACTATACACTAATGATCCATAACCAGAAAATTAATAATTAAGATAGAACTAAATATGAAATTTGCAGTCAGTCAACTCTAAGTTCATATCCAAGTTCAGTTGCCTGCAAGCCCTGTGGCCTTGGGCAAATCATTTAACATTTTTTATACAAATGTTTCTCTTCTATAAATTAGGGATATTCATGTATAGTAAATTAACTGATTTATTTTAGAACTACTTTTTTTTTTTTTAATGGTTGTGGGACCCAACAGAAAACACATACTTCCTTGGTGTCTTTTTTTTTTTTTCCAGAAAGAGCATGTCTATGTGCTGGATTAATAATTTCATTTAAGGGTGTGTTTTATGGAACCTTTTGAATAGGCTGTAGAGTTGAAAGTAAAATCATTTGGGTGGCCTGAGTTGCCACTCAAACCTCTTTACCTTAGAACTACTTACTAAAGATCACCCTGATTGGTGAGGGGGACAGACTGTAAGTGGGCAAAGGTAGAAGCAAGGAAACCAGTTAGAAGACAGCTGAAGTAGTTCAGGCAAGAGATGTTGGTTGCTTGGGTTAAGACTGTCATCATGGTGAAAAGTGGTCTGATTTGGAATATAATTTGGAAGTATCACATATGTGATTTTCTGGTGGATTAGTTGAGGATAGTGAGAAAAAGGAGTTAAAGATGACTTCAAGATATTTGGCCTGAGCACTGGGTGACTACAAGTGCCAGTACCTGTCTGTAGAAGGAATCAGGAATCAGGATATGTTAAGAGTGAGATGCCTTTTGTATATCTTCATGACCACTGCATTATAGTTATATAGGTTGTTCACTGCACAAAGAGATATGGGGACTAAAATCCCTAACAGTGTCCCTGCTGTAGGGCTGCCTCTTCCTGGAAGAAGGAGCACTCTCTAATTCGCAGCAAAGCAACCTAAAGGGTAGTAGAGGACTTGGACAGCCAGGGGGTTGGGGGTACTATATGGGTGGTTTGTCCTTGTGTGGTTGACAAGGTCGTTTGTAGATATTAAATAAATCAAAATGAAAAATGCTCACCAGAGTGACTAGCATGTAGTAGGTGCTGAGTACATGTTAATTCTCTTCCTTTCCTATTGTGTATGGTTTTGTTTTGCTTATCTATGTACCCTTAAATTCTTCAAATTATGTAGCTTCTTGCACTGGTTAAATGTGTTTCGCTGATTAACTGTTGCTGAGGAGGTTTGTTTCCTAAGAAACATGAGATATAAATGACAACTGTAGATAATACCTGTACAACATCAAGAGTGAACCCTAATGTAAACTATGGACTTTGGTTGATAATAATGTGTCCGTGTTGGTTCATAGATTTTACCAAATATGCCACACCGATGAGAGATGTTGAGGGTAGGGGAGTATATATGTGTGAGTGGGGAAGGTTATGTGTGTACTCTCTGTATTTTCTGCTCAATTTTGCTGTGAACCTGAAACTGCTCTAAAAAATAAAGTCTATTAATTAAAAAAAGAAAAAAAAAAAAAGAAAAAACCCTCCAGAAAGCAGTAGACAATAGCAGCATTTTTTTGTGACCTTGGAATTTCAGTACACACAGGTCCTACCCTAATGTGATGAGTTGTCAGGGACTTTTTCTTCCATTTATATTAAGAAAGGCTCACTGAGTGGTTAGCATTTCTGAGCTCTGGGATACAAAATTTCTCTTGAGTACTCAGATTACTTTTGTTAAATGATTAGGAGGCGACTAAGAAAGGAATT